GCTGAACTGCAGATAACAGTCAGCTGAAGTGGCTGCAGTACAGCACTCTAACCACTGTGCCACCTCGGCTCCAGTTGCCTCCTGAAAAAAGCACCTTTAGGACAACCATGACCTGGATGATGCAGAATCTCTACAACCTTTTTTTCAGAATGAGCCTTAATAGCATTTTTTCACACTAACCATTTTATTAATAGAGATAGACGTTCAAAATTTAATAAAATTAGTTCTTCAGAAAAGTTGGTGTTAAGACTGAATGATTCACTTAAAAACTGTAGTGGTTCACTCAACAGCAATGACCAAAAAGGTCCTAAAATAGGGCAAAATTCACTTAACAACCATTTTGCTTAACAATGGAAACTCTGCTTCCAATTGTGGTCATAAGTCAATGACTACCTGTATCAGAGGTGGTTTTCACATAATTTTACCACTGGCTCGCCGTGCACCAAAAATGTGAGCGTATGCAGCTTGCATGCATGCATGTGGTTTAGAAAATGTGGCTAAATAGGACGGCATAGCACCGGGGCGGGTGCACAGACACACCTGCAGGTCGAACCAATGCAAACCGGCTGAATACCACCACTGATCTGTATGGTGAAATTGAATACTTGTGAAAACAAGGCTAATTATGGCCCTTTGTTTTTATGGCCTGCCACCAACCTACAAGGCTTGTCCTTCTGATGTCTCTCATTTTGTTAAAGGAAGCACAACATATTTTAGCATAAAGATAGGTTTAGAATAACCCTGAAGCTTTGAAGGAAGTAGGAAACGGTACAACAAAACCCCTAAAAATGATGGATCTGTCTGGATGTTACGAGCATCAGCATTTGGGGAACAGCTCCCGTCTGCTCCAATTATTATAAAACAGCAGAATCAGGGAAAGCTTTTCACAGCCTGAAGCGGAACAGAAAAAAATATATATACTACTTCTCCAATGGCTCCCATTTCACATGAGAATTACAACATTTCCAAGAACCTGGACCCGACATAGAAGATGAAACCGCTACATAGAAAATGAAACCACATTCCGATACTGATATTTAATTTACTGTGTATTCCAAAGCATCAATAAAAAAACAAGAGGTGGCGCACACACATACAATTTGGTGAAGGAAGAAACATCGTAAACAAAGCAAAGTATTGCTTAGAGAGGCCCTGAACTGCCAGTTGTGCTTCATGGACCTCAAAAACAGCTGCAATTTCTGGAGCCAAACAAGACAAAGATATTTTGGGGGTGTGTGTGTCTCGTGGGGCTACTACGGTATGGAACCATTGGTTTTCCACAGTACTTTTTCTACTGTGCTTTGGGGGCTGAAGGGAGATACCCAAATCAGCGTCTGAGAAAAATAGGGGTTATTTTCCTCCATATTTCAGATAAATTATTTTAGAGGTATTCATCATCATACCCAATTATTCTTTTAACTGAGAAATGATAAGGTAAGATTTTTATAACTGTTTTCTGTGAACACAATGGCATGTGTGCGTGCGCGTGCACACACAGGAACACACACAGTGTACACAATTATTAGGCAAGCTATATTTTTGAGGATTAATGTTATTATTGATAATAATATTAATATTATGGGGGGGACGCACATTGCATTATGAGTGCACATGTGCACTTTTGGCATTCGGTGTCGAAAAGGTTAGCCATCACTGATCTAGTTGTTCTGGTTTAGATATCACAAAGCCTCCTTCCAGAAGATAAAAAATAAAACCTGTCATGGAGGGGATGTATATTGTCCCAGACAATAACATGGACCCTGGTCAAGTATCACTTATATGCCATGTCCTGAATAGAAGGAAATGCATTTCCAATAATCTTTTCTGCCGTCCTCACCACTCTCTGCACAGCCTTCATATCTGAAACAGTAATACCTCCAAACTACACAGTAATATAATACGACAGGATGCTTTCTATCATCCCTCTATAGAAAGTGGTAAGGACAGGGGGAAAGAAGATGTGCTCAGTGTTTCATTGTTGAGCGACCAAACTAGTCTACTCGTTGGCTGCACACCCAGAAACTTGATACTACTAAGCACCTTCACAGTTGAATCATTAATACACAGAGGTGTATGGCTGTGCCTGCCTTTTCTGAAATCGACAATCATCCCTTTTGTTTTACATATCATTGGGGTAATTTTGCTGGATGATGATCAAACATTGGTAACTTTCCTCTTGGGGAAAATGGTTCCCTAAATGGCGTGTGATGTCAGTCTTGTTCTCTATTCTGCCAACAACTTCTTCTGGAAATCTTACCAAATGGGTTAATTTTCTGATACTTGGCTTTCCTTGGACAGCTTCATCTTGCAACAGAGCCAGAAGGTGCATTATTTCCAGAGTGACCATAAACAATGTACACACAGAGCCTCTTACGCTTTTCAGTTAACCTACAGAAAGGCTGCAGAAAGCCTTGAAATGAACAAAGAATGCCAGGTTCCATTAAAGAAAATTGAATTGAATCACTTTTCTTTCTACCCCAAGATAAGTCTGACAGACACCACAAAGAGTCTCATAACAAAGACGTGGCATTTGCAGGGCTGGCAGGAGGACAGCAAAAGCAGTGTCATGTTTCCACAGTGCAATCCCGTTTTCTAAAAGTGGTACACAACACTCCATCCTCATAGTTAAAAGGCAGAAATGGGGAAAGATATTCGCAGTTCAGTTTATTTAACGGAAGATTCCATAGTTAATTTAGGTTGTTAAATTTAAGAACACCTAGATCTGTGATGGCAAACCTATGGGACACATGCCAGAGCTGGCACGCAGCGCCCTCTCTGATGGCACACGAGCCGTCGCCCCAGTTCAGCTCTGCTGCGCATGTGTGTGTGCCTCCCGTCAGCCAACTGGCCTTTGGTCTCTGCCATGCATGCACAGGGCCCCCTATGTGGGGGAGCAGCAAGCGCGAAGGGCAGAGTACACTTGGGGAGGTCATGTATGCATGCACAGGGGGCATGCAGAGGAGTCACGTTGACATGCACGGGGGCCACGTTGCATTTTGGGGGTTCACGTGCTTTAGGAACTCAGTCCGGAAAAGGTTAGCCATCACTGACCTAGATTTTACCATTAATTAACTTTTCACATATTTTTTCTTAACTTACTAGCTTACTCTATTACTGATAGTCAAAACTATTCTACTTCTTCCAAAATGTAAACCATGTCGCAGCATACTATCAAAACAAGCAAGATGCCCCCAAAGTTTCTGAGAAACTAGAATCTTCTAGAATTGCTTAATCCTTATAAGGCTACATCTCCAACCTTTAAATTCGACAACCGATCCAAAAAGACACCATGATTAGTAAAGTCAAGAGCAGCTAGGATTCACAAAAGCATCGATAAAATTATGCTTCCTATCCAAAGGGGTTCCCCACCATGATTAAAATATTCTCTTTTGTAAACTCAACTTAATCTTGATCGGAATCAAACCCTAAGCATGCATACCCCTCTGTGTGCATTTAGACCAAAATGAAAAAAAAATATGGCAGGGCTGCATAGGGCATTCTTGAAATGATAATTTTGTCTAGGAAAAACGTCACTGGAATTAGCTATTCAAAGCACTTTTGGTTAATTTCAAAACTTAAATTAAAAGGAGGAGGAAATGAAGAAGTAGCCTAATGTGAAAACCCCAGTTCTGTTATGCAAAGGAAGAAGAGAGGGAATCTTTCAGCTAATAGTTGAACACAGAGAGAATTATTAGCATGGAGGCCCAGGGAATTAATCAAGATAAAATACAATAAGGCAAGTAAGCACCACTAGGAAAATCCACCTCACCCTATTAAAAGATAAAGCCTATTATGGAAGTGAAATGCTGTAAGCTTATCACCAATTCTCAGCATGAAGTCTTTTCTTTCACATTACCAATGCAAATTCTGTCCAGGATCAGTTAAAAAATAACTATAATATTATTTTAACAAGCAATGTCAAGGACACAGAAAAGTAGGTTTCAACTTCTGGCTTCAAGAATGGCAGTTTGTAGCCCTGATGCTAGCAATTAGGAACTTGAAGGGAGAGACAGTTTGGGTGCTAGCCTAGAAACCAAGGAAACCAGGAGTTCTAGTTTCAAATCAGGCCTGAAAAATCAGCTGCGTGACCTCAGGCTAGTCACTTTCTCTCAGCCCAACTTAACTGACATGGTGGTTGTGAAGAAAACAGGAATACAGGTCATTGTGTTGATCCAGCCTTAGCCATCACGGCTCTAGGTCATCTCTACCTCTCTTTGCATCAAAATTATAATGGGCAGTAAATGGCTTGAAACTATACTTCCTGCTGACAGTAGGATCTCATGGATGCCCAGTTCTTGGGAACTGTTTTAGACATAGGTCATTGATCTCAGAAACCCACTGCAGCCTGCAACTGAACAGCAGAATTAATTAGGGCCACCAGCAGATTCCAGGATTTTAATGAGCAATTTAAACATAGTCACCAGAGCTTGCATCAGAAGAACCCCTCCTTTCAGATACAACTACTTCAGAATTCTCCTCAACTTCGGTGGGCTTGGCTGTTGACTTAGCCCAAGATGGCGGATTTTCTTCTGGAGTCCCAAAAATGGAAGATGCCATCTTGTTTCTTTTTCCTCCTTGCTGGTCTTTTGGCAAATCAAACCCTATGTTGAAATTAGAACCACCACCTGGGGGGCGGAGAACCCTTGAGCTACTTCGGCCACTGGGGTCCATCCCCGGGTAAGTAGTGGTGATGGTCATGATGGGGAAGAAATTGGAGGAAACCGCCTGGGTGCGAAGCCAGCGGAAGATGATATTTCCGCGCTCAGCTCCTGGCGGCTACAACTGCACTTTACCTTCAAAGCATACGTAGAATAGAATGGAATGGAATGGAATAGAATTCTTTATTAGTCAAGTGTGATTGGGCACACAAGCAATTTGTCTTCGGTGCATAAGCTCTCAGTGCACATAAAAGGGATAAGGGATAAATCATGATCGTAACCACCATAA